TGCTCAGACGGTTCAGCTTTCCCAACGAACTTAGATTTTGTTTCTACAACTTGTCTCTGACTCCAAACACACGTATTAGATGTTTGTAACTGAGTGCATGCAGGATTTACATACGCGGCAACCAGCCAGCTAATCCTCGGTGCACATGCTGGTTTGTTTACATGCACGAGGCTGAGGATTGCTGTCCGCTCAGCGTGACGCCGCGCTCAGGATGCTGGACGGCGTTATTCAAATGATGTCTAGTTAATAGCGGTTGTGGACGGTCCTCATTTTTGCTTTTACCGTGTTTGAAATCACAATTAGAATCCGAATTGCTCGAATCAGACTGAATTTGCAGCCTCACTGCTGCTGTCCTCACCTGTCCGCTGATCACAGCAGCGAACAGTCGAGACTCTGAGACGTCACCAGATCCGGGGTTCCCACTTTGGGTCGTTCCAGATCAGATCATCAGGGGCCTTCTGGTCCACCTTCTCTAGTTTGCTTAAAGCAGTTTGATTACTGTTTTCATATGTCAAATATATCCCAAAATAAAATGGTCTTAAAAATTGTCCGTTGACCGACGTTGAACTCATTTTTTTGCACATTGACGTTTGGATGACGACGGCGTTGGAACTGTTAAAGATAAAAGCTTGAGATTGTCACAGTTGTTTCTCATCATGTCATTGATTCAGAATCAGCAGTGATGGACAAGCAGGTCTAATCGTCTCTGATTACAAGTGGGTTGAAATATGAAGAGAAAATGAAGCCGTCATGAAAAGTCCCATCTTTAAGCTCACATTACACAAAAAAAACGATATCACAGACGTCAACGAGGGATGTTTTCTGAACTGTGCGGTTGTTTGTCACAGTAATACTAAACTAAACATATAGGAATTAACTGTTTTAATATGAAACACTTACTATATGTTTTTGTTAATATTCAGCGCTGATTGAGCAGGTGTGACAGATAGTTGATGGTTTAATCCGAGTAAAACAGAGGTCTGGAGTTTCAAGATGGTTCTCCAGATATAAATAAGAAAAACATCTTTCAAAGGTGGCCATGTTTTTTCATTTTAAGACATTTTATTAAGGCTCTGAATCACTGGCATGATGAGAAACAACAGTGAACATGTCAGGCTTCTGTCTTTAGTAGTTTCTGAGATATAATCAACTTAGCGTCTAATTTCAATGTGCGGAAACAACTTAGAAAGAATTTCATATATGTAGCTAAACTGTCACAAATGTCCATATATATATGAGTGCACACTGTAGTCTAATTACAGCTCAAATAAAGCAGCTACAGTTTCACTTTGAGACATGCTTTTGGCTGTTTTTTCCTTTCTTAGAAAAGCAAACTCTATGCTTTAATAGTATGAGGCTTTTGGTAAAGCCATCTTAAACAAATGTGTCCATGCAAATAAGGTATTTCCAAAGAAGTTTAGGAGGAGAGATGGTATCGGTATCGACAGATACTCAAAGTTGAAGTATTGGTATCGGAAATCAAAAAGAGGTATCAGTCCATTCCTAATATGTATCTATAGTTTATGCTATAAAATTTTCGTGGAAATCAGAAATGTTCAAGCAGAAATTATTCTAAAATTGTATTATTTGGAGTTTCTCCGTGTGTGATGACCTTCGGCCTGTTTCCGACCACCACCTGCATGTTAGCGTTTAGGTTCAGTTTGCTGAATCCGACTGGCTTCACACTCCTCGTTCTGTGTTTGACTTAAAGGAGAATCCTGGTTTATTTCAAACTGGTGTGTTTCCCATGAATGTGGCTCCAACAAAACGCCCGTTAACCTCTGGTCAGACTCGAGAGCAGGCGTTTGAAGTTATTCATTCTGCAGGTAGCTGATGCTACATTGTCTGGCTACCTGCTATTCACAGGTGGGTTTTTTTGTGTGTGTGTGACTCTTAATTCCAGAATCTCTGCAACCATTAATGAGAAATACACCAGTTTGAGGTAAGTCATAATTCTCCTTGAAGCTCCTGTAAAGAAACACTTCTGCTCCGTTGGCATTGTCGAGTCGTCCTTCTGTGTCGAGTCCAACACCTGCAGCACTCCAGCGTTCTGCTCGTCTTCGCCGACATAATCATCTGTTACCTTTCTCAGCCGTGGCTGATTTATGACTCGTATCTCTTCCTCTGAGAAAAATTCCACCTGAGAAACCCGCCGGCCCGAGCTGAAGCAAGTCGCCTTGTAATCTGGGTGAGTTTGATTCTTGTCCAGAAAAGACGTATGAACGAGGTACGGTCTGTGCTGAACGATGAATTCGAGGGAAGGATTCAGATTTTGGGTGCACTTCTCCAGGACTGTGAGATCTCGGTACTGATTCAACGGGTACCCTTTGCCGCCCGCCCACGCTGCCTCGGATCACACGTCATTCATGTACTCGTGTAGAAGTCTCAACACCTTCGACCCTCCGCTGTCACTCATGTGTCTCGACTCGTTCTCAGTTACATCTTGGAATCTTCTGACGGTGTGACGTAGTGGGAAATTAGTCCACTCTCAATGTGCCATAAGTTCAGGAGGTTGGGGCGGTGGAGGTGGATGCTGACGGAGCTTCCCGTCCCACATCTGACCGTTGTCCACACGGTTCTGCTCCAATGCATGACTCTGTTATTACACGAGAGAAAGGACGGTGTTTCTTTTCTCCCGTCCAAGGACACACTATTGTTGCGCGTACAAAAGCTACTGGGATAACATTTTCCATTTTCACCGCGTCGAGTGTTTGCAGCAGCACGTACAGATGCTGCCGGAAAGAAAGCAAAAAGCTGGAAGAAACTCGGGCGACGTTAAAACCCCGCCGGGTGTGAAGCTGTGACAGAAACCGACAGCAGAGGAAGCGTAACGTGTTCGTCGCCTCTCGTTCAATCTGCATATTTAGTGAAGAAAATCCATTTCAGCTTTTAATTACTTTGTTACGATGTTTGTCATGTGCAGAGTGTCGGCTCCTAACAGCTTTTTTTTTTGAAAATGTTCCCGATGTGACGAGTTTTATTAACACCGTCAGGATAATCAGCAGAAAGGAAACTGGAAATGAAAAGGACGGATGAAGTGCCGCCACACTTTTTGATGTCGGACTCGAGATGCTGACCCAGGAGGCCGGGCTCTCATGTCCTGTGTTGGACTCAAGTTTCATTTTGTTTGGTTAGAATCTTGCACCAGAACTACACAGTTGGATTTAGGAAACAATAAATTTCACAATATAGGTTCAAATTAGGGCTGCAAGGTGGAGCAGTGGTTAGCACTGTTGCCTCGCAGCAGGAAGGTCGCCGGTTCGCGTCCCGTTGAGGACACCCAGGATCTTTCCATGTTCTCCCTGTGCAGCGTGGGTTCTCTCCGGGTTCTCCAGCTTCCTCCCACACAGTCCAGAAACATGTTGAGGTTAATTGGTGATTCTAAATTGTCCGTAGGTGTGAATGTGAGTGTGCTTGGTTGTCTGTCTCTAAGTGTAGCCCTGTGATAGACTGGTTACCTGTCCAGGTGAACCTGCCTTCACCCTGAGTCAGCTGGGATAGACTCCAGCCCCCCACGACCCTAGTGAGGATTAAGGTGTAGAGACGATGGATGGATGAAAGTTCAAATTAGAGGTCGACTGATGTTTTTTAGAGCCAATGTGGATAAAAAATGATTTGAAGTCAAAAAGCGACATAATTGATATTCAGAACTGATGTACATTTACGATCCAGTTCAAATAATTGCATCAAAATCCAACATAACACTTTGTTGAAATGTTTATTAAATTAAACTTCTGAATTTCAAAACCCTCCAGCAGGTCTTAATGGCAGGTCGTCCTTAAAAACTTCCCAAAATGACCTTATTTAGAGTCAGAAACAGTAAAAACATAATAAATAATTGTTGAATTTTCAACTCTCTGATGCTTCTTGAACTACTCATGTGCAAAAATGAAGGAAATCTAAGCTTGGAATGGTGATATTTTATCAAAACTGCTTTGTTTTGAAAATCTCTTGCCAAATGCCAAGAATAAGTTGTTAATTCTCACCAGATTTTGTAAAATACCCCAAAAAATGCATCATCAGAGTAACTGTGAAGCCATTAGTGACTCAGATGAGATAAAAAAAATAAATAAATAAATCATGTGACAAAAAACAGAAACTCTTTGGCTGAACTGAGCTGAAACAAATGGATGAAAACATGAAATGAAAAAAAAAAAACAGGTTGTGGAATATTCTTGTTTTGCTTTCTATGTTTTTTATTCCTAATACCTGTCTACACGAGTAAATAATCAAAGAACTTTAAATTAATTCTTGTCTTTTTTCTGATTTCTGACACTTTACCTACATTGTGCTGCACAAAATACATTTTTTCTCTGCTTCTAGTCACGGTTGTGCTGCTTCTGTAGAGGTGCAGGACTTTATTTTGTAGAGAAAAATGAGCTCACAGGAAGTAAACGTGTGACCGGAGCAGAAGAAAACCAAAAAAAGAAGTGCTTGGAGTTCAAAAGGTAAAAAAGATAACTTTTCACCGCTGATCCTTCGGTGTGACTGTAGGTGGAGATGTCAGAGCCACAGAAATGAATATATTTTAACAGGAAGTGGTTAGAAAACTATAATAAACACCACTAGTCGCTGAGGATCACAACACATTTAAAGTTTCTCCTCCATTTTTCAGGACTTGTAACATTTTTCGTTGAGTGTAGTTTTATAAGAAGGTGATTTTTACTGGACGATTCTCGCTCATTAAATTTAGGAAGTCCTGATTTATCACGTACCACGGCATCATTTTCGTATCATTATGAGACACGTCTGTTGTCGTCACGTGGAATCACACAAAAACTTCTCCCATGTCGCTTCAGACGAGGGCGCATTTTAATTAGAGGCGTCTTTTAAGTAGCGGCGGTAGGTTGAATACACTTTTGTCCTCGTCACACAGTTGTCAGCGGAAGCTTTATTTTTCATTACTGCAGATGTGTCACTTCTTGTTTTCTTCCTCCCTCCTAATGGCTCATCTTACTTTTTGGTTAAAGATTTTTTTTTTTATTCCTCCACACACACAGTCGGTTTCGCTTATTTCTTTTAATAACATGTCAGATAAAAATATACAACATCTACATCCGCTAGACACTGAGGACTATTCCCATTCTAGTTTGGTTTATATACACAATTACTCAAAAATACTTCTGTTGATTTAGGATTAAAGAAAACAGATGAAATTTCCCCGCTTTAGATTGGAAGAAACGCCACGCAGCAGGAGTCCCGTCAGCATGTTGGAGGATATTAACACAGGAGAGTCGGTGCTGCCGTCCACGCCTCGGTTCTGCAATAAAAAAAGGACAAAATAATAATGAAAATTCAACAAAAATCACATTTTTTCTCACAGTAAAATGAAGTTTATGTTTATGTGGAGCTCTCGGTATGAACAATATAATTTAGCTGGAGTTTTAATTGCAGTGCATCTATACAGAGACAGAAAAACACAAATTAAACGCGTTTAAATGTCAGGGTTTGCTTGGAATTTGTTTTCCCCTTTTGACAGCCATCACAGTGAGCAGTTACTTACATACAAACCAGCGGATGCACATGCCGCACATAGCGACGACGCTGGAGATCTGCAGCGCCCGGCCGCACTCGGGGCTCATCAGGCAGTCCCGGGTCTTCAGGCAGCACTTGGGGCAGCTGCTGCCGGAGCTCCTGCTCTCCGTGTCCTCGTGCTTCCTGGGCTGAGTTTGCCTCGTGTCGTGATGCTTCTCGTCCCACTCCTCGCTCTCGCCTCGACCCATGACGCCGGCTTGCTCTGACGAAAAAGAAAAGTTTCAAGACTTGAGGATAGACGGCTTTCTCCACACTCCACGTGTGTGCTTCGTTACAGCTGGATTTCCACGGGGAATAAAAACGGGGCCACGTTGTGTGCCGACTCCCCGGCTTCACAATACAGGCTCTGTTTACAGCATCCAGTGGCTGTGATGTTGTTTTAGTTTGTTAAGACTCGCCATCTCTTGCTATGTCGTCCATCTTTGCTCATTGCCTTTGCTGGGGTGTGATTTATTTATTTATTTAATCATCTGCAGCTGGCTTTGTTTTTAGGAATGTTTGCACCTACCCAGGTTACATTCCAGCCTCCAACTCTTACGGCACCGAGTTCCTTGTGTAAAATCAGCACATGCAGCTGATGTGAAATCAGTTTGACTAAACCGGCCTCTTTCGTGAAGAGCTGATCCTCAAAACTTTATTGTTTTCCATCCATCCATCCATCCATCCATCCATCCATTATCTCTACACCTTATAATAATAATAAACTTTATTTATGGAGCACTTTTCAAAACAAACGTTACAAAGAGCTTTTCTATAAAATAAAATTAAAATCCCAGCTGACTCAGGCTGAAGGCAGGTTCACCTGGACAGGTACGCAGTCTATCACAGGGCTACACTTAGAGACACAGGTTTTGGAAAATCGCCAGATTGAGCGAGAACGTCACCAAGTTGGCAACACTGTGCCGCCTGGTGTCGCACATCGATGGCTGTGACGCATATTTTGAGCAACAAAAAACTTCAACATGTTTTATTGTAATGTGATAAGATTCCCATAATCTTCAAATTTAGGATTACATTTTAAAAACTAACAAACTAAAATAAAATACATTTAAATTAAATGCTCATTATTTATTTTCCAAAAGCTCAAGAAGCCGCAGCAGCAGCCCCTGATTTAGAACCACCAATTAACCTCAACATGTTTTTGAACCCGGAGAGAACCCACGCTGCACGGGGAGAACATGGAGACTCCACAGAAAGATCCCGGGTGTCCTCACTGGGACGCGAACCTTCTCGCTGCGAGGCAACGGTGCTAACCACAGATCCACCTTGCAGAACACATTTCAATCATAAGTAATGAAATTCCATCACCCTCCTCGGCCATGAAAGCGACTTGGAAAGGAAGTGAGAGAAGGCCATTAGGAGGAGAGGGAAGAAAAAAAAGAGAGAGTAATGGTCTTACCCTTTGCTTTCAGAGTCGCCTCTCTGTCAGGTTGAATCTCCTGTCTTTGTAAAGTAGGCTTTTCTTAGAGGAGTGCAGTGAACAGACACCTCCAGCAGTACAGACGCTGCTCACACTGGTGAACAACAATGTGTTGGTGTCGCCTCACATGAGCAGGGCGGGTGTGTCTGCAGGTTGAACAGGTTTGACTGAGTGGACTGCCCCGGAGTGAATGATTTTACCAACAACAAACACGCATTTAAAGACTTGCAGAGTCTTAAAGGTGCAATCAATACAGCAAGTGTAAGGAAGAGGTCTGTCCCACCAGTGAACTGTTGAATCTAATGACTGACTCTGCAACACAAGTGACCAGACAGCGACTCGGCCTGTTTTTCAGATTTTCTGATGCTTTTGCAGTTTTGCTTAGTCGTGTTTATACAAACAGCAGTAAAACAGTTAATCCCAGTGAACAGCAGCTAAAAGGATTTAAATTTGCCATCCTCATTGTAGGAGTCTACTTCTACTGGGATGTCGAGTTCCTGCAACACTTCCAACACTCCCTGGAAGTCCTGTCATGTAATCATGCCAAACACTATCTGCAGTGGCTCCTCCAAACTGTGTCTTCAACTTGAATTTCATTTTGGGGAAAGAGCCAAATCTATCGAGTCACTTGGGTGGAGCACACCGGTGAAGGGAGGGGAGGGGCCACCGAGGCCATGGCCCCGGCTGGAATCTGATTGGTCCTCCTCTCAGCCCCTCAGGCAAAATACTGTCTTGTCATTGGGTAATTAGTTTTCCCCCCAGAGGAGCGCTGGCTGGTCGTTGAAGCACAGCTTTATGGGGGCGGGGTGAACAGAGTGTTGTGGTAATGTTTGTGACGGGAGCAGCTGGAGAATAAAAACAAGCGCACCTCTTCTCTGGCTTCCACTTGTGGACACTCAGAGACGGTGGTAAATTAAACACAAACAAGTTACTGATATGTTTTGTCTTAACTCGTAGATTTACCCATTACCTTTTAACATTTTGCTGACAAAGAGTTCATGTCATTCGGTAGAGAAGCTGATGAAACTACAGGTTCTGGTCATAAAATTAGAACATCATGAAAAAGTTCATTTATTTCAGTAATTTCATTCAAAAAGTGAAACTTGTATATTGTATTCATTCATTGCACACAAACTGATGTATTTCAAATGCTTATTTCTCTTAATTTTGATGATTATACCTGAACACTAATAAAAATCCCAAATTTAGTATCTCAGAAAATTAGAATATTGCTTCGGGCCAATACAAAAAAAGGATTTCTAGAAATGTTGGCCAACTGAAAAGTATGAACATGAAAAGTATGAGCATGTACAGCACTCAATATTTAACTAAACCAAATGGCCAAAAGACCCCAAAAGTCCTGAACAGGGTTAAGAAGAAGCCATGTGAGGGTCAGACCAGTGAACCCAGACAGGGTCAGGGGGACGGTTCTGAGGACAGACATCCAAACAGGACCAGTCCAGCAGCTGGAGCCCATCATCAGCACCAGGTGACACGCAGAGCAGAGCAGGACAGACGTTCCTCAGAGCAAATTAAGAACAACATTGTTAAGACTAGAAAAGCCCTCTGAGAGCACAGACCTCCTCCACCGAGCTCATGTCCACCATGCTGACGTTAAAGTCCTGCATTCATTTTATCTACACGATTAATTCATGGAGAAGCAGAACATAGCTTTAGCATTTGAGTTAACATTGATATCATTAATAACAAGCTGATGGAGCGATGAACGTCGTTCTGGACTCTCAAATATTTTGTACACTTGCGTTATTTCTGCAGTTCCTCAATTGGTTGGTATAACTACAGCCAGGTTACTGCTAACATAAACAGACAGGGAGTAGCTTACGCTAGGTTAGCACAACTTTAGCAACGTAAATGAAGCGCATGACCGACGCAACGAGGCACACGTCAGTCATCCTGACACATGGCAAAGAGGGTTTAAGTGAACCAGGAGAAATGCTGAGTCATCGTTAATGTCACAACGTGGTTCTGAACTTATGTGTCAGTAGCTCCGCTCAGCCCACTCCTGTAGTCCTGCCTGGCTGTAGCTTCCTCCTGGACTACTGAGAAGACAGCGGTGAGGACTGAAGGACTGAATGGAGTCAGAGCTCCATCTAGTGGACAAACGATGCAACGACAGCATTCTGTGCCACTGTGACACTTAACAGCGTTTAATGTTTTATGAGAAAATAACCAGATGTTAGGCCAGAACATCACCAGAATTTAATCATCTGTTCATTGTGCCATTATCAACATTTCCTGAAAATTTCATGAAAATCCGTTCGTAACTTTTCGAGTTATCTTGCTGATAAACAAACCAACCAACCAACCAACAAACAGATAAACGCCAGCTAAAACATAAGGAAACAAAGATCATGTTCCTGGTGTGCTCCTGACCCAGTGTGACATATCCAGGCTTTCTTTGCGTAGCCCCAGCCAGAGATCACAGGTAGCAAGAAGGTAGTTAAACTTTCTTTATCATCTCAGACTTCCTGCTTCAGACTCTGTTCAAAAAGGAGGCGTTTAACGCGTCTCGTGACTCTTCTTCTGCACTGAATGAATCAATGTGCAGCTGCTTCAGTCAACATGTTGTTTCAATGGAGAACAATGATGAATATAAACATTCATGACAGTAAAAAGCGCCGCTACTGTAAATAGTGAAGGCGGGAATGCTGGTAGAAAACTGTTCATATATAATATTTTACTGATGCAGCCGCAGATTTCCAGCTGACAGCTGCACGTTAAAGTTAAACTTTAAGCTTCACATATTTAAACCTGATCTTGTATTGAAGGTCATTTAGGTCTGACAGTGTCCCAGAATGCAGGATATCACTTTAATTTTTGGCCAAATCAAAGCAAAATTATTAGTTATTGATTGAATATTCTCTGTAATAGATACCAGCAGAATAATCCATGTTCTGATCTGTTCTATCAGCTGCAGTAGCAGCAGAGTAAACAAAGCAAGTCAGAGCCAAACATAAAAACATATTTATGTGATTTCTGCATCACCAACTAAATACATGTCTGGTTTCCATGGCAACGCGATACATACAGTGTGTGATACTGCAATTGTACGGCTTTATTCAGTGATATAAGCAACGCACAGCTCAGCATGTTTACAGAAAAAACACACTCCCTCAGCTGAGAATCTGTATCGCTCATAAATAATAGTCAGGAAACGATCTGGTTAAAGAGAGACGCTCTGTCAGACGATTTAAATCTGAAGCTCTGAACATAACCTGATCCCGACCAGGTCAGCTCCACAGCATCAGTTGCCATGGAGATGTAGCTCCACAGCATCAGTTACCATGGAGATGTAGCCAGGTAAAACAAGAGCCACCTTCATGACACTAGAAAGTCTGACTTTAAGCTCAACATACCTTGATAACCCACGACTCCGGCTTCATAGTACAGCCCTCTGGTGTGCTCCTCACCCAATGTGTCTTGTCCAGTTTTATAAAACAAGCTTTTGCGGTTAAAAGTGTTATTTTCTCTCTTGGTGGTAGCCAAAGACCCACCTTTCCAGTGGTGATCTTCTGTATCCCGAGCTGGTGACTGATAGAGTATTTGATGTTTGCTGCCTGTTTCAGTTTGAGGTCCACGGAAAAAATCACGAGTGAGTGTCTACCAGTGGTCACAACAACATGTAACACAGGTTCCCGCTGACTCATATCAGTTACTGCCTGCACATGTTGTGGAAAGTTCTACAACCTTTTAAACACACCTCCAATTTGTCTCAACATCTAAAACCTCTCTTAGCTTTCTTTTCAACCATTTAAATTTCTGTTAGAATATCAGCGTGTCACGTAACACGAATTTGTGTAAACATTTTGACATTTTTTTTAAGTTGTAAGTTAAAGTTGAGATTGATTGATTGATTGATTGATTGATGGATTGATGGATTGATTGATTGAAGGAATTTCTCCAACATCATCTTGCACTGGAATGTGATGTAGAAGAAGATGGAATTTTAACATTTAATGTTTCATATAAATATGAATGAAATTCTGGTTAAATATGGTGTAAATGTAAACCTTCAGTCGACATCTTCAGTCACTTTTTTATTTTAATTTTTTTTAAAAAGTCCTTTATTTCCAAGTAAAACAAGATTCCCACAAAATGATGATGGTCATGATGCTGCCACCACCATGCTTCACAATGGTGTGTTTGTGACGATGTGCAGTGCCTGCCAAACACAGCATCTAGGCTGATGGTCTCTATATCTCTAGTTTATGCTATGAGATTCTGAGGGAAATCAGAAATGGTCAAGCAGAAATTATTCTAAAATTTTATTATTTGTGCATGAATGTGTGTGACTGAGAAAACATTGTAAAGTGCTTTGAGCAATACTAAGGTAGAAAAGTGCTGTGTAAGTGCAGTCCATTTGCCATTTACCATATTTCTGTTGATTAACTTGTGGATTTAAGATTAAGGAAACTTAAAACAGATCAAATTGATTATTTTCCCGCTTTAGATTAGAAGAAACACCACGCAGCATGAGTCCCGTCAGGATGTTGGAGGATATTAGCAGCGGAGAGTCGGTGCTGCCGTCCAAGCCTTGGTTCTGCAATTTTAAAAAAGGGACAAAATGATAATGAAAATTCAACAAAATCACATTTTTTCTTGTAGTAAAACAAAGTTTATGTTTATGTGGAGTTCTCAGTATGAACAATTTTATTTTCACTTTGCTGGCATTTTATTTGCAGTGCATATATACAGAGACAGAAAAACACAAATTAATTGCATTCACCCTTTAAATGTCAGGGTTTGCAAAAGATTCAGCGAAATGTATTTTCCCCTTTTGACAGGCATCAGAGCGAGCAGTTACCACATTCAAGCATTTGCAGTGAGCAAGACAGCTGCTTGCTTTGGTTTGGACTTACAGCCTTCGCATATCATGCCTATGATCCCGAGGCACGTGCACAGCAGCAACAAGCACTCCTCGCTCCTCAGGCAGGCCCTGGTCAACGAACAGCACTTGGAGCAGCACTTGGAGCAGC